ACATACATACATACATACATACATACATACATACATACATACATACATACATACATACATACACACACACACATACATACATACATCATAAATCTACAATTTCATTATATATTTCATCAAATCATCACAAACAACAAAACCAACTTCTACTTTAACCTCATATCAATCATAATTAATCGAGACTAAACCCCTTACCTCGAATTCATATTGATTGATCCATTCCTATGTGTTTTACAAAAATTTCCTCTGAGCTCTAACCTCTTCTTCGCGTTTCTCCCAATTCCATGATTGCACAGAATGATTGCTATTCTTCTATTTTCTCTTTTTCCCCTAAGACCCTTTCTATGTTATTCCCCTTATGTTGTCACTTATCACCATATATTACCACCATGCCCTTATTATCTCTACGCACCAATTATTCTATTTAATTATTAATAAATAATTCTAAATATTATAAACTAAATTATTTAAATATAAATAATTATAACTAGCACCTTAATCCACACTACCTCACAACACATCATCATACATCGCACAGATAATCATCAATAATCCACTAATAATTAATTAAATAATTAATTCTAAATTTTTGGGTGTTACATTAGGCTTGGGAGGTGTTTGACTGGGGAAACAAACTTCAGTTTGGCGGAATTCTGAGTTCGTGTATTCGGATAAAATACCCTCGCGAGAAGCGGCTAGAGGTGTGTATTCGGAGAAATGACCAATAGGTTTTTTGTACTCTAGAGATTCACTAGGTCTATCGTGATTGGGTCTATCCTCTTTTATTTTCTCCACTCCTCAGAGAGGTGCTGAGAGGTCCTCATGATTTGAAACCCTGGCATTTTCTTGGTGCATTGAGTCTCTAGCATTATTGGCGGCATCCTTCTCCCCGTACTCAATGTAGGCTTGGGCTTTGAGGAGGAAGGCATTTAGCTTCGCGAGCATCTTAATGCCGACTGCTTTGGAAAAATCACTACAGGGACGCGTTCCTCGCTCGAGAAAATACTTCTTCATGTTGTTGGTCATAGAGTCCTGAACGGGTTCTCGATTGAACCTCTCGATGTATGCTCAAAGAGATGTCAAAATGGACTATTAGGCCCTAATGGGCCTTGGCTTTTTAGGGTTGGGCCAAAAAAGCCCTATTATAATATGGGCCTCAAAATTACTACCCGAGCCCGACCATAGATGGGCTTCGGGCTACCAGGCCCAAAAAGGCCTTTTTTTAATATAAAATCCATAATATTTATTATAAATAAAATCAAAAATTATATTATTATGAACATAATACATTTTTAAGTATTATACTATCTCTTATAAAAACTATAATATGTTTTAAAATACAATACATGTCTAAATTGTAGAAAATAATACTTAAATATTTAACATAAGAGAAACTAATATAATACGAGGAAATAATGTTGATTATATTAATGTATAATATTTAAAAAATAAAGTTTGAATAGAATAGAGACAAAATTTAATGAAGTGAGAAAAATCAATGTGTTATTTTAGAGTAATACAATATAAGAATTAATGTGCTATGCGGGTCTAATGGGCTACCCACGGCCCATGCAGGCTAGCCCTAATGGGTAGTGGGCTTTTTAGAGCTAGGCTAAAATAGCCTTTAAAAATATGAGATCTAATTTGAAGGCCCAAGCCCTATGATTGTTCGGGCTGGGCGGGCCGACCCATATGGGGTAGCCCATTTTGACAGCTCTACTCGAAGGGATTTGTCTTTCCCCTATATGACCGCTTCTAGTGACGCCTCGGATTTTGGATGGCGATGAAAAGCTGTGAAGTGCCTTGAGAACTGCTTCCCTAGGTTTTTACAGGAGGTGATGGATTCATCGGGGAGGCTCTTGTACCAAGATATGGCACACTTCCTCAGAGTAGTGGGGAAAAACCTACATTTGATGGAGCCCCTGACGCCGCGATAATCGAGCAGGGCATCGATGTTTTTGTTGTGCTCTTCAGGGTCATATGTTCCATCAGATATCTCCAAGTTTGGTGGCTTTTCCAGTCTGATGAGGAGGGGAGTATCCATGATTTCCTGAGATAGAGGATTGTTGAGGTCGTCTTTGTCGCTTTAGCCTGATGACTATGGTGGAGAATAATTATGCCTCCCTTATCGATGACTATCATCTTGACAGGGTGATGAACTTCTTGGTTGGCCTTTTGGCTTGGGTGGAGGCGACCGAAGGTTGTCTGGTCGTCGATCAGCTTTAGTTTTCTTGACAAGCGAGGGTTCCAGTTTTTTCTAGTATTGGTCGACAACTTGGTCGGCGTGGAAATGGACTTCTGGATCCATATCGTTGGTTTCTCTATAGGGGAGACCTTGGACGACGTTCTTTCTTCAATTCCCCGATCCTTTCATTTTGTTAGAGGATCAAGGCATTGGTCTAGTTGAGCGCCGCGACCAGGGACACTATAGTAAGATCGGTGTTGGATGGCACCGAAATCGGCTGAAAGTTCTTTGGTGCCCCTTCTTGGGTTTTCTTGGTTTCCACGAAATGGACGTCATTGTCCTCCGCTTCTTTGGAGGAAGGAGATGCAATGCAACCATCTCTCCGCAGGGGAATGGTTTCTTCGAGAAATGGCATTTCTTCAACGTTGTCAGTTTTATAGAGGGGTGAGATGACGATTTTATGAGTGTTGTTGTCGTCTTCTTGACTAGCCATGATTGGATCTTGAAGGTTTGTTTTATATTTTGTTTTCAAAGAAAGAAAAGATGGGGAAACAATGTTTCTTAAAGACGACACCACTGATCTTACTAGAGATCGGAACCTATAATAGGTCAGCTGCAATATTGAGAACCAACGGAGGAAGGGTGTACCTTCAAGGTCCTCTGATGCTCAAGTAAGTAAGAGTGCAGAGGTAAACGAGAGAAAAAAAGGGTTAAGAGTTGGATACCTAACCCTTCTGTGCATGAGGGTATTTATAGTGCCCTCAGCATTGGGCCAATGGTTCCCATTGTGGGACAAATATCTAGGCCCAAAATGGGTAATTTATAGGATTCTTACGTGAAAGCAGAGACCAACAGCTCGTGCTCGTCATCCTGAGGAACTGCCCTGGATCTCGCGGTCAATGCACGGACTGGCATCTACCAAGGGAAGAAACGTATACTGCCAGCTATGTGAGATGTGAGGGATCAGTTGGCTACACGTCCTCAAGAGAAGGGCACGCGGAGATGTGCTTCCTACTAGCCTAATGGATTGGGCCAGCACTTCTGGGTCGTCCTTGACACAGGGGTGGATTAGGTTAGCCATTGGCTCAGTCTAGGACAAATAGCATACCATATGTTAGTATAATATGTTCTTTGATATATGTTATGGTATGTATGAGGCCAGACATAGCCTAGGGGGTGAGCCTTGTAAGCAGGTATATAGCCAATCTTGGGAAGGCACACGGATAGCATTGAAGTGGATTCTAAGCTACATAAATGAGTCTCTAAGTAGAGACCTGGCATATGGTGGAACCTTAGGGGTGATAATAAAGTAGAAATCGAAGGATATGTCGACTCTGAATATGCAGGTTGTATGGATTCCATAAAATATATATTTTGATATGTTTTACTATGTTTAACACATTAATCAGTGGGACAGTGACACTTCAAAGGTTGTTGTCTTATCAATCACTTAAGTAGAATACATTTCCCTCACCAAAGTTGTGAAAGAAGCATTGTGGTTGAAGGTTTTGCTAAGGAGTTAAAACTTCAAGGTCGATCTATCATTGTTAAATGTGACAGCCAAAGTGCAATACACTTGTAGAAGAATTCAACCTATCATGAGTGAACCAAGCATATCAATGTGAGACTGCATTTCGTCAGAGAAATAATCCAGCATGGAGAAGTGCAAGTGCTGAAGGTTTCGACTGAAGATAATGTTGCTGATATGATCACCAAGAAATTGTCAAGCTACAAGTTTTTCCACTATATGCAGTTGGTAAAGATACATGAAGAAATCTAGTTTGTTCCCTTGATGTTGTAGAGTTTGCTCCAAGGTGGATATTTGTGAGATTTTGGATCAAAATCTAGTATCGACAAGAGTAGCTTATTGGTTCGACAGAGTTTAAGCATGTTGTTGATATCTTGCTGATGTCGAAGTTTTGCATGTTGTAGTCGAAGTACGCTCAAACATGTAATGGTCGAAATGCTAGGATTGTTAGCATATCAAATTGGGTCTGTTTGTTTATCTCAAAATTGTTTAAGTTAGATTGTAGCTTAAATTAGCTTAGTAGTCTATAAATAGACTAGTTCTCTCAAGTTGTTGAGAGAGGTTGGTTGTTATTATTCACTTGTAATATTTAAACCCTTATTGAGTAAGTGAATAGTAAAACGGTTATAACCAATCCTTATTTTCTTCTTCTCTCTTCTCTCTCTTTTGTAAAAACCTAATAAGGTTTCTTGTGTTTATTCAAGAGACTCAATTTTTCTCATGATTTTAATTTGTTCTTGACAGAACTTTGTTACAACAGACATTTATCAGTACATAACGAGATTAGTGAGGTGTTATCAACAAAAACATGTAATGAATATGTAAAGTCTTAGAAAACATACATTTGAAAGGACGTGAATAAAGAAGAAAATAGAGAATGAAGAAACCGACACAATCAATTGACATATTCTTCAAGTCAACATGCACCTCAAACAAACACCTACATGCAATCCAACAACAAATATACTTTAGTCCCTAATCTCCACCACAATCAATTAACACCAACACACATGACCATACTCATTCATGCAGCTCACCTATCAATGATAATCATACATGCAACTCACTCAACAACAATTATACATTAGCATATGATTTTTCACAACCACCAACATGCATCAACACCCCTCATCCATACTAATACATGCAACCACGACAATAAAACTATTGCTTTAACCCATAATTTCTACAACAATAAACTCAATTTAATTACAATTTTCAAACACTCTAACACCAATTCTGATTTACAAAAATCTAACACATGAATCACAATATCATAAACCAAACTTATTGATCACTTAAAAATTTCAATTGCAAAACCAAACTGTTGTAGTTATTATAAGAAGACCCTCCAATAGTTGTAGTAGCCTCAACCTTATGCTTCCACTCCACACACTTTTTCTTCATTTCTTTTTCTTTCTCACCCCTCATAAGTTCCTTCACTAACCCTTCAACTTGTTCTCTACTAACATCACTTTCAATTTCTATTCCAACTCCCCATTTATTACATGCATAAAAACAATTAGTTTGTTGCTCAGCAAAGAAAGGCCAACAAGCCATTGGCACACCTTCACAAATACTTTCCAAGGTTGAGTTCCATCCACAATGAGTTAAAAAGCCTCCAATAGATGAATGACCTAGAACTTTTTCTTGAGGGGACCATTCCAATATTAATCCTCTATTTTCAATTTCTTTCACAAATTCATCATTTGATATTACCTCATCTCCACACTCAACAAGATTAGGCCTAATTACCCATAAGAAATTATTTTTAGTATTAGCTAATCCCCATGCAAATTCTCTTAATTGCTTTGTAGTCATAATCACCAAGCTCCCAAAATTCACATAAACAACTGAACCTTTGTCTTTTTTGTCTAACCATTTCATGCAATTAACATCTTCCTTCCATAAATTAAAATCAATAGACTCCAATTGATTATTGGAATTTGATGAAATTTTTTTATGGAGCATTGATAATGAACCAATAGGATAAAGGTTAGGGTAGGTGATTTTGATTGCATCTAATATCTCTGATTCTAACTCTTGAAAGGTGTTAAGGATGACACCATTTGCTTTCATTGCATTGTTCACCGAATCTCTATTGTAATTAAACATTGTATCTGAAGAATTTATAGTTCTAAAGAATGTGGGAAGATCTTTTAGCTTAACACCTCTCATTGCTGGTATCCAATCAACCTCAGTTTCAAGATATCTGTCATTTAGATTCTTCTCATCTAACCATAAGCAAATAGATTTGTGTAAAATGAGAGATATAAATGATAATGCCTAAGATACATTGCTAATAAAATATGAATTTAAATGTAATAAAACGACACATCATTTTTAAAAATTAATTATTATTTATATAGTAATTTAATATTTACAATTTGTAATATCAAATTTGTTTTATTTATATATTTTTTTTAGGTGAGATACCACACTATATAAACTCTATCAAAGTTCTTTCTCTCACTCATGTAAATACTAAGAGATATGTATAGAAATTATTATAAACTCACTAAAAAAGCTATGTAGAAATCCATCACTTAATTAGTGGATTGTGTTTATATGTAGTAAAAAAGATATGATTATTGTACTTGCAGTTATCATATTTGGGTTTGTTGGAGAGTTACTAAGAGCATTGATACAAAGTTGAAGATTTCGTACCTTTGTGAGAGGCACGTCAATTATCCATCTAAAATTTTAAGGTAATAGATGAGTGGATTCTCCCACTTATATATGCTTAAGTATCCACATTATTATCTAATGTTGAAATATTTCTCCACTTACTCACACTTGCATTATTATTTTTACACGTCCCCTCAAGTGTGAGTCCACAATGCTCCCACACATACATTTAGCATTGATTCAAAGTTGAATATTATGCACCTTTGTGAGAGACACACCACTTATCCACCTAAAACCTTAAGGTGATAGGTGAGTGAATTCCCACACTTATATATGCTTAAGTCTCCATATTCCTATAAAATGTGGGACTATTTCCCCACTTACTCACACTTGCATTATTATTATAACAGCGATAAGGTACGCAAGAGGCTTGTTTAATTCTAATATGTAAAAATTTAATGGTTTATTCAACTCCATTTTTGAGTATTTATAGACCTAACCTTTGATAGAGAAGTCAGTGGAGAGACTGATTCTCACACCTACAAAACTAGTTATATGTATGCTATGTATGCCTCATTAAAGGAATGATTGGGATGAGTAACCTTATTATGTTGGAAGTTGAATCACTCAAACACTTTGGTTATTCTTCGACTAATTATTATTCTACTCGCTTAGGACGTTACCCACCACGTCTTTCGTGAGAGGGAATGGTCGGACTTGATCATGTACTCGCAAATGGACCTTGCCATTTTCCACTAAGATACTAGCCATGTTACTTATATGTTGGAGAGCTAGTGGGTTGAGCCCTTTGAGCTATTGAATATTTTCCATTCCATATTTCATAAAGCACAAATCCTGTAAGAGCAATGTGATTATGGTATGACATTTCAGTCTATAGTCTTTCAAGTATGACGCCTTTAAGAGAGATGTTCTTTAGATGTGTTTACTAATGCAAAGATTGAGCTTGTTTTTTATCGTGATTATTTATGATATTAAAGAAGTGACTCGTGTAGGAGTGAATGTTGGATTTTAGGATTGGTGGTGTATTTAATAAGATGCAATGATGAAAAAATGTATTGGGAATGACCAAGTGACCTAAGTTGTTAGTCTATTTGCATATGTCCAATAAGGATCATTGATAGTTTATGTTTGTAATGATGTTTATAAATCTAGAGGATATGTGATGATGATCCTCCAAATACCTACTCGGTCTTGGAGGAAAATTACCCCCATTAAATACATAACCCATATTTTTTCCCTTTTCATGATTTTCCTTCCACATTATGTATTTTTGCATTTAGGGATCATGTTTCCTCATACAACTTCACCTTTAACACTTCCTCAAGTAAATAACATGTATTTATTTCTATGTCCTTTGTTTATCTTTCTTTTTATGTTATTGAGTGATGGTAATTATTAGAGATTGCGGTGAGAAATGTGATTTGATAGAGCCTGGAATACATGAAGAAAGATGTAGGGTGTGGAAACAATGTGTAGAAAACTCAAGGCAGTGGGACATGAGGTTTGATAGGAAGCTTGTAGAATTATAAATATTTTGGAGCTATGATATAAGTTCTAGTAGCTTCGATTCTAATGAGAGTAGTGATAGTGACCTTGTTTTATACTTTTTTTCCCAGAAATATTTGATCATTGATGGTGACTACAAGCACTACACACATCAGTGGCAAGGTTGAAAACATTAACTTTGACTTTGCCAATGCAACCAATGTGGCCTACTTTTGGAAGAATATATGCATATCAACAACTAAGAACAAAGGCGACATCATATTAGATATGTGCAACAAGGCAGCAAAGGTTAATCTGACCATACCGCGGGGACTACTTGGGATCTCGCTTACTATGTTTGAATTTGAGGTCCTGCAAGCTATAAATCTTTCCCCTTTCCAACTTCATCCAAACAGTTGGGCCTTCATCAAGGGGTTTATGATTATATGTATAAGTATGGAGTCTACTATATGCATTTTCTCATATTTCTATTATACTTAAGGCATTGATAAGGGTAGTTGGGTCTCTATAAATCCCTTCACCAAGAGGGCTCTGCTTACTCTATATTTGACCAACCACTTGAATTTGAATGATTGATTTGTACAAGTACAGGGTAAAAGGGGAACTCTTTATGTCTATTTTTGAGGAGACTAGAAAATATCAGCTTCCTTTGTATTGGGCGAGTGATCTCGTTCTAATAAATGGTTTTAACCACAACAAGCTAAGCGAGATGGATAAAGAAGTCGTCAAATTTTTGGAAGAGTTTTATATCATGAATGCGAGAGAGGTGTAAGACTATGAAGAAGACTACAAAAAGCTTGATAAATATTTAAAGAAGTGTCTCCTCCTATGAAAGTTTTGAACTGTGTTGTTAGTTTTGTTAACCTTTTGATGGTTTTGAAAAGAAGATGACTCACAAGTCAATTGCTGAGAAAAAGGATTTGCTAGAGAATAGAATAGTCGAATGGGGGAAAGGTGTGATCCACAAAAACAAATATAAACTCCTCCAGTTTGATAATTTAATGTGAAAAGAAGAGAAAAATATCAAACTCACATCGACCTCGAGACTGATACCTCAATAGATTCGAAAGATGTGTCATCCCAAATAACACCATTATTAGTTCCTTCTCAGAGTAAGGTTATTCCTTCCTTCGAGAATTAGGGTTTTGATGCTAAGGGATTTTGTACGCAGAATAGTTGTTCAGTATGGTAGAGGCTCATCATCTGATAGGTGTTCTTTGATAGCGGGTGTTGCTCACATTTAGACAAACTTATATGTTGTGAAACTCAAGACAAAGTTAACCATAATGAAAGAAAGTCTTGATGAGACCTATACTATGTTGAATTTAGATAACACGAATTATTAAGATGGGCAACATTGAGTGGAAAATTTGGAAAGTGATAAGAAGGAGAAGGATGAGGCGTATCATATATTGGACAAGGAGTTTCCTCAAGCAAGAGCTGAGATCATGACTGTGAAAGAGACTGACAAAGAAGATAGTTATTGCTAAAGATATACTACAAGCCTATTTGGATGATGCTCGTGTGAAGGTAATTTACTCCATTGATCAAGCATTTGAGAAGGTTAAAGCATAAATTAATTGCCTTCTTCTTGACTTGGACATGTGTGTCCTTTACTTATTAAAGGTTATTTGGGATGTAAGGTTAGTTAATTATAAAGATGAGCTCGAAGATAAGGATATCCTCCCTTCTGAGAAAAAAGAAGAAACTTTCATGACGCGTGATGTTGTCCATGTCACTATAACAAATAACGCTTTTTATGATGAACCTTTCACTAGATACCATAAAAAATCATGGGCACACGTGACGGGAATGCCTTGTTTTTTTTTAAATAATAATAAATCTATTACCTAGGCTTTAAATAAAACCGACACAAATATATGTGCATGGTTTGATGTTCGATTCCCACCTCCTACAATTTAATGTTTTTTATGGAACCAAAAAGGCACCTTTATTTTTTATAGATTTTACGTTGGATATGTTACCTCGGTTTTCAGCATATTCGAGATAAAAACTCTCTAATCTTTTATTCTTTTTACAATCAAAAAGGCACCATTATTTTTTATAGATTTTACGCTGGATATGTTACCTCAGTTTTAAGTAAAACCGAGATAAATACTCTTTATTATTTTTATCCCCTCAGTGTCTCTTTCATTTTCTTTTGAGCCCTAGTGAAAGAACACTTCTTCTCCAGCCAACGAAAGAACACTTCTTTTCCGAGGAGCCATAGTGAAATAAAACTTCTTCTCCAACCAACAAAAAAACTCTCTTCACCATTGTTCTTCGGTATGTTATTATTGTTGTTCTCGTTGTTGTTTCTCCATTTTTGTTGTCGCGAATCATTATTATAAATTGTTTAGTTTTGGTTATATTCATATTTTTTAGCATATAACCATAGAGTGTACATCATAGTAAGAGTTAAGCTGAATAAAAATTTCATTAGATAATCCTTACAAAAGGATTCATCATACAAATAGTCATATCTAAATCCTCTGGCTGAGAGATAGTTTGACCAAGTATAATATGCTTCATTCTCATCATCAAAGGATCTTTTCCTGGGAGCTCTCATGAGTCTCAAAAGTCCGGTTGCATAAGAGCATCTTCTTTCTACTTCTTGATTATGAGTAGGTTTTGCACATGAGCATCCTCTACAGACACAACATCCTTATTGAAAGCTTCAGCATAAGTACTCATTTTGATTTTTCTTCTTCTCTGATTTCTTTGGATGAAGTTCTTTTGGTGTTTCGGTTCAAAGAGGAATTCCTCATCTATATTGTTTCCTCTGATTCTTCCTCTTCTCTAATCCTTGAAAGTCTAAAAGTCAAGTTTGCTCATTATTGGTTCTTTAATTCTATACGTTTTCTTCTCTTGAAAGTTGGAAAGATTTCACAAATGTCAAGTTTGCTTATTATTGGTTCTTTAATTCTATATGTTGCCTACCTCATTTTCCAATTTCTTTTTCACTTCTTTGATATCCCTTTTTTACACATAGTTTGATGTAATGATGTGTACTATTTTTTTTATTTTCAGACGCTTTATGTGATTATGGATCGTAGTTGGATGAAAGCCAATAGATTAAGTAAATAGTATGAGAATGGATTGTTACAATTTTTTGATTTCGCAGAAAAAAACCTTCCTGACAATAATGGGATTTTTGTGTGTCCTTGTATGAAATGATATAATATGAACAAACATCCAAGGGATGTTATGTGCAATTCTTGTGGTTGTGATGGAATTAGCCAAAATTACATGAACATGGGTATGGAATGGTAAAGGGACAAAGAAGAGACCTATGTCGTGTACATTTGAAGATAAAGATGATAAATTTATGAATGATAATCTATAAGACATCATTCATGATATTGGACTTTATGCTTTCAAGAAAGCTAATATGGTAGATACTTTGTGAAGAGACATGGAAGATTCATTGTATTCGGGATGTAACAGTTTTACAAGATTGTCAGATGTGTTAAGACTATTTAATATTAAGGCAAGAGGTGGTGGACGGATAAAAGTTTCACTAAATTTCTTAAATTGTTGAAAGAAATGTTTCCGGAAGGTAACATGTTGCTGAACCATACTTATGAGGCCAAGAAGATATTGTGTCCAATGAGTTTGGACTATGTCAAAATACATGTTTGTTATTATGATTGCATCTTATATAGGAAAGAGTTTAAAAACTCAAAGGAGTTCTCAAGGTGTGGAGTGTCACGCTACAAGCAGAAGGACAGTGGTGTTGATGATAATAAGGGTGCAACTAGCAAGGGTATTCCTGCCAAGGTGAAGTGGTACCTAGCGATAATTCTAAGATTTAATAGATTGTTGTACTAATGTTACTGACACAAAGAATACTAGATGGCATGCAGATGAAAGAGTGTGTGATGGAAAATTTTGTCATGTAGCTGATTCATTACAATGGAAGAAAATTGATTCCTAATTTTTAGATTTTTCCCTTGAACCAAAGAACCTTAGGCTTGGACTTGCCACCAACAGAATTAACCCTTTTGGTAAATTTAGTACAAACCATACGTCATGGCATGTTCTTCTCTTAATTTATAATCTATCTCCATGGTTGTGCATGAAGCGCGAGTATATGATGTTATCAATAATGATTTCGGGTCAAAAAACAACCATGGAATGACAGAGATGTTTATTTAACATCGTTGATTGAAGATTTAAGGTTTTTATGGGAGGAAGGTGTTTATATTGATGATGTGTATACAAGTGATAACTTTAAGTTGTGT